TGTTCAACTTCTACAGACCCACTGACACATCTCCCCGTCCTGGCGACTGCCTGCGTTCAATGTCCACTGTCCACTAACCAGAAATGTCCATCAAACAGTTTCGCAGCCTGACAGGTAATTGGAACCTTGCAGGAATAAGTGACCCTAATCGGGAGCTCTTGAACAATTTCACCAAATCAGAAGAACTCATGTCATGGCCGAGTATTTTCTATTTCGACAGAGAGCCCCCAAGCAATGTTTGGTCAGCCATCAAGCCAAATGTTCGCCAATATATCTGGCCCACCGTGTTTGCTTCTGTCTAAACTTAATCTCCTTCCATGGCCATCACCCTCTCTTCACCCCCCTCGGAGGAACAGTCGACCCTCGAGCCGCCTTCTCCATTTTCTCTTACACGATTGCTCCGTGCTTGGAAATCTTGGCCATTCCTCCGACATTCACTTTAATTTCAGCTATAGTAATTGCTTAAATCTGGTCGTCGCTTGTCCTGAAAGAAAGCTGCAGTTGAAATGGTATCCACTCACTGCAATGATAATCTGTGCCATTGATCTAACGTCAGGGTTTTGGCAGATACATGCGCTATTGCAATACAAATAATCTCTCGGGGAAAAATCCTACCGTCTCCTTTGTCAGTCTCGAGACACGGGGACTGTTGAAGCAGACTTCATTTTCGGGAGTTCTTTCAATCTCTACACTTTTCCTATGTCCTCGAGAGCACTTAACTCGCTCCAAAGTATACAATTGCTCTTCCTTTTGTGGCCAGAACACACATTTGCTCTTTTCTGATTTGTAGTTTCTACTTGTTCATGTTTTCTTGAAATAGCTTGGACTTCATGAATCAGCATTATCTGGCATTTCGGTAAAGAGAACTCGACTCAATATTCTCCACAGATCAAAGGCAAATATATTGTCCCTTTCATAGCGTACACAGACTACACTCGACAGTGTACTGTAATGGATAAACAGAATAGGATACATTGATCAGTCATGTTTGGCAGAACCGGCAGGATGGGAGAGCCAGTTTACAAACTTGTAAAAAAAATGAACTCCTACTCCCAGTTCTGTACGATACCTAATGACCTCACACTCTGGTGGTCAGATTCAAACATACAGTCACACAGTGATTACTTTCTGTAACTCAACTATGGGTGAGTGGGTTGAGTTTAACCACCTTGAGCCATTTCAGCTTAATGTGGAGTTGAGCCCAGACTGGGTAAAGCCCGTAGATCTGCCCTGCTACTGGTGAGACAACATGGATATGTTGCTGACATATCACGACCAATAATGGAGTCGAATCAGCGGACCCTGACACGACTAAGGGACGCAACTCTGATTCCGAACAGTACATGATGAAAGATGGATGGTTTTACAGGTCAAAGGTATGATCTGAGAAAACTACAGAGACAGCTGAAAATAATAAAAATGTTTCAATGTATTTGAATTGGTTTCTAAATCATATATTTTAATACTACTCTAGACACACTTTTTGTAATTGGTTCCTACGACCGAAAGGTATATCAGCCTAAGAGTATACATGGCCAAACCACCCTCATCCGGGTAGGAAGACTGAGGCCTTGGAGTTACCCATGTGTGGCGACATTTCCCTCCGTGCCGAAAGTCTCAACGAGTCTGTCACGCGTTGCAGTGGGGCCCTTCTTTCATAGACAGGCGCTTGGCAGTATTTGCGTTGTGTCACGTTTATGCAGTGTGGGGACTGAAAACTTTCGCGATTATTCCAATGAATCTATTGATGTACGAAGAGCATGTCTTCATTCAGCCTTATCTACTCTTGTTATCTTCACGTGAAGTTATATTAATTGTCAAATATGTATTTTGGTTATATAAATATAATCAGCGTTTTAAAACATATCTGATCTAAGTTATCCAGAGCAAAATCATTTTTTTGAACTAACTTGATGACGGGCAGTGTAAACATCCCTCCTGGTACCCCCCACTATCTCCTTATGTATGACAGGTTACATGCAACAGCATGGCCATCCTTTCAATCTATTCCCCGAATATATATCTGTATTGCAGAACTTGATTGCAGTTAACATTACCTTAACTCAAGATTAACGGAGAAAACGTACAACTTTATGGATTAACTGCAATCGAATAACTGACAACAGAAAATGCTTCTCAGACGCAATTAACGAAAAGTATACATTTTAAATTAATAAAGTGCTTTATTTCATACGCATGTTCTATTAAAATACAACATACCTAGCAAGAGATGAGGCTGAAATGGGGTTTATTGTCGCGTTCAAGGTTATTGCACTTATATAGCGACGTGCATGCACTATTGTGTGTGTGTGTGTGTGTGTGTGTGTGTGTGTGTGTGTGTGTGCTTGTACTAGTCTTGAGTGATGCCGATTTTATAGTGCTAGCCTACTGAGGTACCATGCCGCATTTTAACATGAATACCCCTCTCAGACACAGCATGCTGACTCTGAGCCGACTTGTTTTAGCCTCTTAATGCCGAGCGCCAGGCAGGGTAACAACAAGTACAATCTTTTCACGCCTTTTGGTATGATGCGGCCGGGGAACGAACCCTGGGGCTTGCGTTCTCCGGGCGCACGCTCTACCACTGGACCATGGAGGCGGTCGTATCTCGCAAGAGTAAAGGCAAACATATATTAATAATTATTATGGCTTCTAAAATTGTAAGGCCCCTGACCTTTCATATTCAAATGGTATGGGAATATTATTGTCATGTTCGATTTTTTATCTATCCCGTCCGCACGGACAGCGCAATAGGTGCCGGGACAGCGGTGTCAGCGTACACTATCAAATTTAGGTCATCCTGTTAATTGAATTCACTTGTTTAATAATTTATCGAGTTCTCTCCCCATCAGAAATTTGATACACACTCTAAGTCATCCTGTAGGCAACGATCTTGTGGTAAGGATATATCGTGTTTGTCGTGTGATTTGCATATCTATAGAGAGAATGTATTACTGCAAGAATTTTCCCGAAAAGTTTGATTGCTAGAAACTGTATTGATATATCAAAACTTACAAAAGAAACACAAAGGGGAAAAAGAACGCAGAAAAGGCATGAAAAAAAGAAATCATGTATCTCTGCCCTTTTGTTCTCAATCTGTTTTTATTGCCTGGCTAGGTTTTTGGAAATCTCCCCGGAATTGCGTTTTGGATTGTGGTCCTATTTTTTATGCTAGACGAGACAAAGAGATGTTTAGTGCCCCGCTGTTTCGGAAACGGTAACACGTGGTTCGTATTGACCGACTGACCAACTGTCATAGGAGATTGTTGGCAATCAATCACAGATAAGCTTCGTAATGCAAGCTTCACAAAAAGACGACGTTGATAAATTCGATTATGTACATGGTCGGTGGCGCATACGGGAACGGGACAGGATGCGACATGACTTTGCTATTTAACAGATTTGTGCAGTTTGAGAGTAAGTAACAGATATCCGAATATACATAATTCATGCGTTAAAGTGTACAATTTCCCCCACTGGAAGCTGGGGTATTTGTTTACAAATAACAGTCATTAAGAAATGAATACGTTTGTCCCGTCATTTGTTGGTGCTCAATTGTCTGTTATGGCCAGCCGATATGTGAAAAGTTCATTGTAGTCAGTCAGGGATATTCCATTAGGGCTTACAATTCATCATATTTAGTGTGCTAAGTGCTCGAGAAGGCTAACGGATAATCGATAAGAGGATACTGTGGCACTTCAGCTTCAATATTTAGCTTCTTCTGTTGCCCCCGTGTTCTGCTATGTCTATATTGAAAACAGCCTCTCAAAAGAGTTAAACGACTTTAATATGTTATTGTCAAAAATAATGTGAGCCATTTGAGATTTTACATAAATATTTCGTTCTTAAGCGGCTATGTTAGTTTTATCAGTTGTTCATTTAAAGAATTTATACACTCAAGTTTCAACTATTAAATATTCAGTGGAAATAATTGTTGTAAAAGAGAAAAAAACATGACTTAGTTCTTTTTAAAAAAGTCATTATTTTAATTGATACCCTGCTCTCTCGCCAGAATACACCCCCCCCCCCCCCCCCCCCCCCCCCCCACACACACACACACACACACAACACCAGAGGTTATAGGAATGTAGAATGTTTTAAGTACAACTATTCATTCACTCTTTCTATTGTTGAATGGCATTGGTAGGTGTATTCACCCATTCTTTCTATTGTTGAATGGCATAGGTAGGTGTATTCACCCACTCTTTCTATTGTTGAATTACATAGGTAGGTGTATTCACCCACTCTTTCTATTGTTGAATGGCATAGGTAGGTGTATTCACCCACTCTTGTCAGTGTTGAATTACATAGGTAGGTGTATTCACCCACTCTTTCTATTGTTGAATGGCATTGGTAGGTGTAGTCACCCACTCTTGTCAGTGTTGAATTACATAGGTAGGTGTATTCACCCACTCTTACTATTGTTGAATAACATAGGTAGGTGTATTCACCCACTCTTTCTATTGTTGAATGGCATAGGTAGGTGTATTCACCCACTCTTTCTATTGTTGAATGACATTCGGGTCCTAATATTCACTCACTGGTGTAGATACAACTAGTTCCCATGTCACAAATGGCAGGTCTCCTGCAGATGACGCTGACGTTACATCTGCCGTACGATCCAAGCACCAAATGCGTGATCACTGCAATGCAATGTATCCAGTAAGCATCACGGGCGTTCATACATTTATTTTCAAACGCCATAGTTTGACAATATCGCATTTGGCTTGGCTGAAAATACACCAGGTAATGCCCCGTTCATGTTTACACTGGCAACGGAATCCGAAATGCTTTTACCATTATGTTGAGATGCTTCATGCTGGTCTTAACGGCTGTAGGACATGGAATTTCACGCCTCACCATCTGTTTACGTATGCCAGATCTCGGTGTCGTATAACATGGACCACGTTTGCTGGTAGACGCAGCCGATGCCACGACGACACGACGTGGTTGCTAGAGTCGTAGACTTTATTGGTTTGTTGTCAGTAGCTATAGGGATCATGTTGAGACTGTGCAAGATGCCATCCCAGGAGCTGAACTTTGGTGGTGGTAATAAGCTGTTTGTGAATCATTCAGCCATGCCAGAGTGTGCAGCTGAAGATTCCAAGCATTTGCAACATCAAGTAAACACAAATATGGATGCAGAGAATAGTTCTTTTGTTATATTATCACATGAGGTGTCAGTTTTCAGTGCTGGCGAGTTGGAGCAGAAGAACGTGCATGCAGATCTGTTAGTTATTTGTAAATGAAGTGAGTGGGTTCGGTTTGACGCCGATGTGAACAGAATTCCACTTATATCACGGAGTATCAACTTGACGTGGGAGGAAAACCCGAAATAATGCATGCCTTTTACGGCTTGGGGGAAACCAACGAGCACGGGTGTGGCACTGACTATTCCAGAAATACAATCTGATCAAATCTGAGATTCCAAACCAAGATTATAGTTTACTGGCACCCCAAAGGGACGCAACTCTTGACAGTGAATTGTGGTACCCCAGACGACTGAACTATCCGTGCCCTCGATCACAAAGCTATTGGTGTTAAGACATAGCCGACAACGGTTTGGGATAGTATGAATGCCATAGACGAAATATGTACAATAAATAGGAAATAAAATAATGTTGAATATTATTCGTGATAAGTACTGTTTGACACAAGTTTTAAGTATCTACTCCTTTCTCCCTGTTCATGGGTATTGTCCATGGTAAGACAGGACATGCTTACCCTTTCACGAACAGCTATTGTCATCACTGATTTTCACTGTTCCTTTCATTTAATTCAGTAGAATCAGTATTGGCAGATAATCGATACTGGTCATTGTTTGACGTTGATGTATTACATTTATGTAACTGGTAAATGTATGTTTGCATCCTCCAGCCAGTAATCTTGTTATGGGCACATGTATAAGCAGAGCAGGAAGCATGAACCGGACGGTAGTTTCATCCCGGTTCAGCTGCAAGATCAAATGACAAAGTGCCTGTATTTTATTGTTGTCGTTGACAAAACAAATGGCTCAGAAGGACTCCTATTGCCGTCCAGTGTGGGTGGGTACGGGGGCGTCAAACAATCACACTATCAACTGAAAAACATTTTCATCGGAATGTTTGGCGAAGTTATATTTAGCATCACAAGCACATACAGTGATTAGGCCATGAATAAGAGTGGGTGTATTTAACATTACTCTTAAAACAGTGATTAGACGAAATGGTTTGTATTTGTATATTGAAGATAAACACAGGCCAAAAAAATGTCATCTATTCCCCAAACTAATTACTAAAACTGAAAACACTTTACCGTTGTTCAATTACAACAGATGTCATAGATATTATGGCTTGGTCGCCATGTGCCCGCCGTATCACTGACTCCAGGACTCTGTGACTACATGTCAACAGAGAGTTGGTAAACACTTGATCACAGGCCTCCTGTAGATAATGTCAGCAATAGTGCTGGGAACTTTACTCAGAATGTTCTGACCCGATTTCATTTAAACTAATAAACTTTTTGGTCATAATATTCACATGCCTGTAAATAGAAATGATAAGACCCTTCTTATATTATATCCTAAGAAATCCATTGTAGGATAACGACTACATCCTAGGCATGTGTTTATGAATCACTACTCAGTGATCTAAACATATGTATTCACAGGAAGTGAACGGGATTTGGGGACAAGTTCTTCCAACTTAGATTTCCTTCACCCTGGTATTTACAAAATTTCACAATTTCAAATTCAATATATATATATATATATATACATACAACACTATAGAAGAGCCCTTCTCTCTCTCTCTCTCTCTCTCTCTCTCTCTCTGTCTCTCTGTGTGTATATATATATATATATATATATATATATATATATATATACAGAGAGAGAGAGAGAGAGAGAGAGAGAGAGAGAGTTTGAAGGGGAGAGATGCATTGTTGAACAGTTCTTTACACAAATCTTTTAGTTGTACATATATAATGATGTACTGCCTTAAATATAGCTTCCTTTTCTGTAACAACGTGATCTGCATTGCCGTATAACAGTAGGTGTACATCAACAGGTATGTTATGAACAATATTTTTAAGGCTGTTAAACATAATTTCACACTGATGACTAAGCAATGTACATTCCATGAGATAATGATAGCCATTTTCACATGTATTTGAACATGTACAGTTCGGGTGATCTTTTATACAAATTTTATATATTAAATAATAATTCAATTGACTTCACATGTATCTCAGTTTTGTGTGTAAGATATTATATTTTCTTTTTCCATATCCGAAGTACGCAGGTGACGTGGGGTGGTGCTATTTCTACCTTCGGATAGTCGATGGGTAAAAGGATTCACACGAATGTCTTAGTCTTGTGAGAGGAACACTGATGTTTTCAGAGTTTCTGAGACTGTATGAGTTTTTTTGCAGCAACGGTTTTGGGTAGAATATTTGTTAGATAGGAAGGGGCCATATTATGATTAAATTTGAAGAAAAGACAAAGTTTACGTTTCTTTCTACGCTCAACTAAGGGTTCCCAACCGGTTTCATAATATAATGAATGCCAGGGGGGCATATTTAGGTAGACCAGTTACAATGCGTGCAGCTTCTAATTGTAATTGTTCTAATTTCTCACTTTGTCCTTCGGTGCAACCATCCCATACCTCACATGCGTATTCAAAGTGTGGTCTTATGAACATTATTTATATAGATTGTTAATAGTATTTCTGTGATTCAGTTGTGATGATACCACACACATCGTCTTCTTTACCATCAATTTATGTGGAAGGAGCTTAGTTTTCGACCAACATGGACGTGTGTTACATACGAGGGGCGCTCGGGTAGCCTAGTGGTTAAAGCGTTAGAAGACCTGGGTTGATTCCCGACATGGGTACAATGTGTGAAGCCCCTTTCTGGTGTCCCCGCCGATATTGCTGGAATATTGCTAAAAGCGGCGTAAAACCATACTCACTCACTCACTCGTTACATAAGAAATATAAAGACATTCGCTGATTTGATGCTATCAATATTGTATGACTAAATGGCCTAAACCGCTGATCTCCTGTCAGTAACCGACCTAAGCTCGGTATAAATTAGAAAACTAATACCGCGGAATTGTTGGTACTCTGGGTCATGTGACCGAGTCAATAGTCCCAGACATGTTTATTGCAGACGAACGCGGTCTGCTTTCGAAGAATATGGCAGGAATTAGTAACACCAAATCCTTGCTGGTGCCCGTCGACCTAAAGAACAACTGCTGTTCAAACTTGAGTCTTCTTCAGCCACTTTATTTGATTTATTCATTGTTTCCCTGCGTCCTCTAGCTCTCTCGAAACATTTGCAAGATGGAATCACCCCCTTGACGTCAGCCACAGGATAGAGAGGGCGCTGGTGTGACACGTCACGTGACCTTACATTTGCGAAGCAAATTCGAGTTGGCACTTTGGACACGACACGAGTTCGTCCACTTGTCCCTTTGGTATTTCACAGCGATCAAATATTAAGATAAAGTCATGTAGGGAAATTACATTCGTGATATTTCTTCTTTAAGGAAATATTTATAGCAATCTACATATCTATGATGTATAGTTTTATCTTTATCAGAAAACACAATAAGAGTCTGCATTGCCCAGATCAGAAGCAGTGACCCTGTGTCAGGACGTGGCCTCGATGTCAGGGAAGGAGTTTGATGACAGTCGGTGCTTCGGGTTAAATAACTCCCATCACGCCATGCTACTGCCACAGCTACAAATCGACATCGTTTTGTTAATAAATATGTATTACCGACTGGCCTAAACAGCATTATATACTGCTGTATTTCTTTTGTTCAATTGCTCTCTTTGTCACAGATGAAGCAATGTCTCTTTGAAAACTCTTGATAACCTGTAGTAAATCAAGTCGAAATCTTTATTTTCAAACGCTGACTACGTTGAATGTACCAAAGCTGTAAACAATTTCATATGACCTCTGTTGAAGACGTCACCTTACAATTGGCCTGTTCTACGTCACCGAGAGCGTCTTCAATCAACATTACATGGCTGAAAGATACTCTCTATTTCACCTCTCAGTATATACAATAGCGGGCAGAAATTTCACTTAGCATCAAGTCGAGATTCCATGGCAGTCTACCCCCTTTCTTATCTCCTCTCGGACAAAACCCAATTAGTACTATGCGTATAAATCGTCCCTCCTTCATGTCGGTGAGGAGCTGGCAAGGGGAGATAAGCCGGAGTAATTAGCTGTTAAGGTTCTCAGACGGTTGGCAGTATTATGACGTTTTCCAATATTTATCGATGAGTATTTGATAACTTGTGAGCCAGACCCTTTCTCTGGTGTAATTGTATTACTTTCTGTGCGGACAATGGTAGTAACTGAAATAGCAGGAACTGCAACCTGAACGAATTGCCTACATCAGACGTTCGTTTATGTAAGAAAGGGACATCTGCTCTGTGATATAGTGATGACGAGGCCACCACCCTGTCGTTATGAAGTGGCCACAATGGACTGTGGTTGTCTGACGATTAGTCATGGGAGCGTGACAACTTGTCGTTATTTTGTTCATATATGCATATACAATTAAGTGTATACAGATGTTAGTCTTATGGCATGAATGTTTTACTGACCTGGTATAAAATGTGTTTTGATGAGACGAGTAAATCCCCTGGCGTCATCACAAAACAGATCCCACTTGAGGAATCCATCATGTTGCTTTATCTTATTATCGTCCATCAAAGAGTTGGCCTTATACGTGTTGGTAGGTTGCCGTCGTATGGCAGGAACACTGCTCTGCTGCGTAAGGCAACTACAAACACTTACAGTTTATGCAAATTGTGTGAATGTCGGGTTCTGCCGGTGGAGCGGGACATGATGGCGAGCACCTGGTGTCATCATTGATTTTCTGTTGCCCATCCAAGCAGTTATCACCACTGCTTTTCCTTATGCACAATGGAATCAGATAATCGAAACGCATTGTTCTCTGGCCACAATAGAACGTTTTATATTTAGTATCTGACAAAACAAAACCCCACCGACGTGTCTCACGTCTTTGTAGGTTGCATTTTGAAGAATTTGTATTGTTCATTTGAGTGACGACATTCGTTCAGTATTACTGTTAGGTGCTTTGGGCTCCATAACAAAGCCGTTT